GGATGCATGAGTGCCGTTGAGGGCGGGACTGGGCCATGTCTGACAATGTCTCTAATCATTGGTATGGCCCTTCTCCGGGTCCCCATCCAGGAAGACGGCAATGACCAGCGCAGGTGAATTTGCTGGTAATGGTTTTTATACTTCACTGCTATTACCAGCTACTGGAATGAACAGCTTACAACTTCAACCAAGTTATTCATGTTTAGTAGTTAGCTTATTCCTAAAAAAACAGAAATTTGGTTTTTAGGTCCATACATTCATATGAAAGCGAGAATTGCTTTGCTAGTGTTTTGTAGCGACTTTCCCATATCCACCCAGATGTCCTTGTTTACTATTCCGGAACATGTAGCTGGCGAACTTATCTAGCTTTAAACGCAGAAGAGGTAAAACCTCAAAGTTGTATGCGCCAATAAGGCTAGACATGATCAAGAACAAAACATTTTTCTTCGTTTCACATTTAGGTCGGAAACGGACAAACCAATAAATATGTAAATTCATTCGAAAGAGTTGATTAACAAATTGACCGGTGTTATATCTGCTGATTCGCCGGCCTGTGGTATCTGCTGCTGACCCGCTCCAGTGCCTAGTGTCGGAGAGAAAAGACTCACAGAAGGGAACACAACAGCTATACTCCAACAAAGCGGGTGTGAGAGCGTGAGTGCGTGCAAGTGTGAAGGATACAACGGCCTTAAGCTTTTTATTGGAAGGACACCGTCTGAACTCGGTCCAATGCTGACGCACGCGGTCTGGCTTTAGTACGAGGCAGCGACGTGCTGCATATTGCGGAGGCGTTGTCTGTCCTTGATCAACGCTGACTCGAGCTGTCTGGGTTTGATGCAAGGCTGTGACGCGCTGCATATTGAGGGGGCGTTGTCTGTCTGGTCAACACCCAGCGGAGCTGAGAGTCGCCGTAGATTCCGGGCATTCAATGGTTGCTTTCAGGAAGCTGACCTTCCTGATGACCGGCAAAATACCGTCACAAGCTCTTACCCAAAGTTTTGTTCGTAACCTAAAATGGATCAGTTTGATCACCAAAATGGATGGTAATAACGCAAAGGTACAGTGTTTTTACGAGTTCAAGGATCAGCTCATAGAATATTCCGGAAACAGGTTACAGTAGTCCATTGCCCAACCATACATTCAATATTGTGTACTCATGTACATTTCTTATCCAGACTTTTATTTAGAGGGAACAATAGTCAAAAAGGGAATCTAGACCAGCCACTCATCCCATAAATTCTCGAGAAATGTTCTCCAACTCATAACGTCGCAGAGGTATATTTAGCGGAATAAGGCCAGGTTTCTATATCTATACACAAAATACTTATTGTTCCGCTAATAAACACGTAAAATGCACCCGTTTTCAGCCTAAATACTCTAAATAAACAGATAATCAGAGGAATACACAAACAAATCAATCGACCTAAATAAATTTGTTTGTTTCCGGAGAGATTTGGGATAGGATTCTTCCAGAGCACACAACTACAACGCAAAATGGCACTTCAGGTTCCAGATTTCTAGAACCCTAAATTTAGGGATTGTCACACGTGAAAGATGGTGATACTCAAAGAGGACCTTTGTTTGAAAGTACCTGTGAATACCAACAGTGTGGGTAGAGCTCGAATACCAATGAAGGAGTGAACATGCAGGTTTGCAGTGAATTCGACCGACCAGTATGAGCATGATACCTGGATATTTATCGGTAATTACTGTGCCTTGTATGTGTTGGCAAAGACCATCGATTTGAGAAAATTCAAGCCATTCTGTCCACTTTATTGCTCATACTGACCCTACGGACAAATTGCTGGATGCTTGTGATAAATTTAACATTTATTTCAAAGGTCATGGTGCGATACCCCTCGTTTTTGTGGAGACTGGTCAACTGGAATGCAGTGTCTAAACAACTACAGTTCTGATTCTTATTTTTGATCTTGTAATCCTGAATAAGTACACACGCACCTGTACCTGCATCCACATCAGATTTCCCAGTAGGATTATCTCACTTCAATCAAATCGAGACCGTATTAGTTGGAATGTTATGAAAGACAGGGTTATTGACTGATGAGCAAGGTGAGATGGTGTGTAGTAGGGAGCGCGTGACGGGATTGTTTTCTATGAGCATCAACACGAAAATATGATGGTTCGGGTAGAGCCAGCAGATATTCAATAGGTTGATCTCTCAGAATCGAATGCATTACGCCTACCCCTCATTCCTCTCCAGACTGAGTTTGACTGAAGCCTGAATACCCATGCGTGCCTTAGGTTTAACCTACCAAATGTCCTGACCTACTCACAGCGTTGCAAGCTAAGCAATCTCATTGTACGCATTTGTTGGGATGGGTTGTTATAATTATCCTACAGTGTGGTCCATCAAATTACAGGTATACGGTTTTGACGACCTGCTTACTTCTCGCGAACGTGTATTTGGAGCTCGAAATATCCTACGAATTGGGATGAGAAAACAATTTCTTCAGTAAAGAAAAACAGATTAACAAACTCGCGCGAAGTCCTTCGTAAACAGAGTCCCAACTAAATGGAATGACTGTCAGCGAAAAATGCAGACGAACTTTTCGACTGACAAAGTAAGCCTGAGTGTGAGTAACCCTTGGTGCATTATCTAAACGTAAAACTAATAAACCTTGGTTTCTTTCCCTTAGCACTAGTTGGGTTGCTAGTCGTAATTGCGACATTCTCTTTCACCAACGAGTGTGTTTGTGTGGCGGAAGTTTGCACAGCAACATTACGCGCCACGGAGAAGTGCTAAGGAATTTCAGTAGTGAAACAGGAACATGATGTCACAGTAAGTAACTTGGCGTATCTCTACAGCTGATGCTTCCTGTTTGAGAACTCGACGCCCTTTGTTATACAGAGCGGCAGGTAAAAGGATTATATGTGTAGAACACATTAAATACATCCTTGGAAAACTTTGAGATATTTGTACCTAGCAACGTTGTTCTTGGGCAGTCCATATCAAAATGATTCTTGCACAGAGCAGACATACTGCTAAATCCAATGACATCAGACACAGACACCAGAAAGCAAGATAAGCATCTAACTTTATCAGCATTGTCAAGCTGACAATGACCTGAGAATGCCCTACTTATCAGGCTTCCATTGTCACTGAGAAGGAGGTCTGACAGTAAGTTCACAGTAGAGTCTGGAGTACACCCGTGTTACGGTGCAATGACGGTAGTGCCTCAGCACATTTCTGTCTGATCCTTCCAAGCGTTTATTGCAGAACCACCACTGGCACATGAAGTGTATTAAACACGTAAAGTGGGGCATATTTAGTGCGTAGAACAACGTTCTGGATTTACGGACGCGTCACTAGCAGCTGGAATACAACGGATACTGGAAAATGATGGGCTGTTGGGTTCATAATTTTGACCAGTCGGAGCTGGCCTTCATGCTGGACTGACTAGCGGTCCAGTCTTCCGACGAATTACGTGGGGGCTATACCTGTTGACCGTTTCAGCGCCTAATTGCTAGTGGTAAGACGGTTTCATAACTAAGATCCATTAGCAAATCAATTTGGTTTTCACGGGAGACTCAATTGAATCTCTCGTTTATGATGTCCTCCAGCTGATTTGCAAATGAGTGTATTTCTCGAAAACAGTGCAAATTGGGTTCAAGTAGATCATACGGTTGACGGAAACTCGAGGACTGCGCCTACCTGATGAACCCCAAGAAGGGCGAAACCGGTCGTGGGCTGTCGAAGGGTTTCCAGTAACCTTGTGAGTAGTTTCCTTTATGATAAGATCCATTAGATTCAGTAGATAGCTTTCAGACAGAATTACAGAATAAACTTCCTTATCGTTCTGAGTTGCGATCGATGTTTGTGCCGCGACACTAATGAGGTACCCGCGAACGGAATTTGACGTTCACTATCTTTCTACCGATACATTCTTCCATTTCGAATAAGCGATAACCAAAAAGTTCAGGTGATCTTAAGTGATGCGAGTCGTCCTTAGGTTGAATGCTTGCGGAAGCGAAAATGCGCCCTCATTTGAGTATTTGCCGATTTGTACTTGCCTGGACAAACTGTCAGAATTAATTGGATGCAAACACACATAGCTGACAAAGCAAGGTTAGTAAAAACCTGGATTGTGGAGATCATCCGTTGGAGAGAGGAGATACATGAGTCCTAAAAAGAAACAAAGCAACCTTCCGTCAAGAGCCAGGGGAGTATGAACCAGTTCACGAAACCGGTCCACCAAGACCTATCACACAATAGCGCTGAACGCAGGCGAAATTAAGCTTTGCGGAACACGGACCAGAGTTGTTTTGCGGCCTGTTCATAAGGAAACAAGTGTGATGTCTATTGAATCAATTTCGGTGAACGTGGTTAGGTTGCTTAGACCGACGCATCAAATTAGTCGGGACTGGGACGATGGTGATGATTCCTAAATTCTCTGTAATCTTCATAGGGACTAACGAGGTCCACCGATAAATACGAAGAAACGCAAATTACTACGCAACTCGACCTAACTGCGGCTCATAAATAAACACGGTCTCTGACGGATTTTGCATATGAAATTATTTAAATCAAGCACTTCAACGATATTATCAAGTCTGCAAGTGTAGGCAGTGGCCACCTGATACTGAGGTGGGCAGAGCAACGTGAGCGATCATGCACAGTAACAACCGTTGGGGGATGTCCCTTTACAGGCCTGTCTACATCCAAACGTTGCCTGGGTAATCACTCAAATGTAGTCTTTCAAACAATCAGCGAAACAGAGTGAACAATATTCTATGTTATTCTCGAAGAGGATAGAAGGGCTAAGGCCACCAGGTTTTTGGAAGCGGATTCTAACATGGCACACATTCCGGACTTGTTACCTTACTATCGAGGCGATATCGACTGGTTTCCAACGCGCACAAACTACTTCTAGGAAGTTCAGGGGTGGCAAAACCAGCTTCACAGCCCCCCCTATTTTAGAACCGAAGCTAATTGTAAAATAAGTCTCTACACAGCTAACCTCGTATAGAAATCACTTGTACCGAGAACAGAAGGCAATGTCCACATATATTCTGAACGTGAAGGCGAAAACATTTCAAAACATTTCAACGTACCACTCGAACAAGAGAAGAACCAGAATGGTGGATATGGTAATGAGAGGATATCTGAATGGAGCTCATGAAGATAAAATCACATTGAAAAGTAACATGCAGCGTGTTCGAGATCGTCGGGCTGCTCTAACTTGTGGCAAATAATACCCGAAAGAAAATTTCAACTCCAACAAAACGGACAGGTCAGGGGAGAAATGCACTGTGGGAGACATCTTAAAGCAGAAATGGAGAAGAGTAATTGGGACCACAGAACCAAAACCTAGCTACTCATGGAGTCTGCCAAAATCTACCTAACATAGATGGAAGGACGCAGACGGCGAGTAAAGGACCCACGGAACCTTCCACGACCGAACTGGCAAGCAAAGCCACTCCAGGACCAGTCGAATTAGAAGGCGGTAAAATAGGCATAAGTAAAGCATTAATTGCTCGGCGGCACAATGCTTCAGTCAGTTTTGTTACAATGACTGATATCACAGCAAGGGAGACAACCGAAAGGTTTGTGTTGGGGGTCCACAACGAGCGATCTGACGGTTGACACAAGCACAACGCGATCGCTAAACCTGAATGTGAGAATAAGGAAAGTAAGGCGTGCGATGAGCATCCATGAGCAAAAATAACACGAGATCAAACAGCAGTCAGCACAATCAGTACAATATGACGAAAGATAAGACTGCAGGCGAATATCTGAATAAACCGATGGGCTGAAAGGGGCAGAAAGGAATTTACCTTGAAGGCGCTGACTGTAAACTAGGCGACAGACTTATACCAAATGTTTGTGGAAAATGCGCACGAATAGAAAGTTGAAACAAAACGAAGTAGAGGTCAGATTTTACTTTCCTAGGAAGTATGCATCGCCCATTGCTTGGGTGCAGTTTTCAGTTAATTATTTTGGAAAAGTTTTAACGGAGATAAAACACTTCCACGAAAGAAAAGGCACTTGGTGATACGTAACCCATAGAAACTCAAGACAGATCTGTCGATGGGAACTTAATGTGTCGTTTTCTTTGCCATGTTTGACATTCGTATTTTCCGCTGTCCCTCCCCCCAACTTTTGACCAAAACACACTGCAGGCAATAAACCGCTTGTGGAAGTCGGTAATGTGATCGTCTATAAACGTTGTGCGGAGCCAGCGAAAAATACTCATTTGCATACCAATTCGGTTTCACCTGGAGACCCACCTGGAACTCAGTTACATCCCTCGTTTATCATGTTCTTAAGCAACTGAGTGTGCTGCACCAGACCATGTCATGTTTCAGTTGGTAACATACTCGAGATATCGCGGTACATCGTATAGACGCAATACACTACTCATAAGGGTTGTTGAACACTTTTCGACATCCAACCCGGAGCTATATTAGACGGTGATAAGCAATGTAACAGTTGTACTTGTGTATTGTAGTGCTTCAACTAACTTTTCACCGCAACACTACGAATCGTTTCTACTCAGAAAGCATAAAACATCACTAATGCTTTTGTAAGATTGAGCTCGTTAAAAGTAGACACGTTTTCAAACCGCCTGTTCCTAGCTGGTCAACTAGTACTGAAATGTTCGGAACAGACACCTGGGTTGGGTGTTTCTAATCATATCAGGGAAGTTATGTAACCCGACTGTAGTCATTATGTCCAATTGCACAAATTCTCAGCCACCTTCCAAAACGCTTTCGAACTTAATAATGTAATCGAAGTAACCCGATATAGCTTGTCATTTCAAAATGGTGAACCGTCTTTAAAAAGGACCACGTAATGCATTCCCTTGGAGGTTTGGTAAGAATGAGGCCCCCAGCGTTTTTAAGCTTCCGTTTGGCAAGACAAAAGCCTAATCTTACCAGATGAATAGTAAGGAGAATTGATGAGTATACAGCTGGGATAGATGCCAAGCGTCGTTCAAAGCATCCCTTTATTATGGGTATCGGTTAGTAGAAACCAACGTCAGGAACCAACTAGTTCACCTCTTATCAATAGGTGACTTAAAATTGGACAGTGCCGCACATCTAATTTGACTCAAACACACGACAATGAACACGTTACTCAAGAGAAATCAGACGAGCATCCGGTGGTGAAAACATTAGAGTGCGGGGGGGCTCGACAGAGATTCAGGTTTTCCGCATACTGATACGCAACCAAGAACGAGTACTTGGAGGGTGACTATCCAGAATCTACGGTTACTTAGTCGATGAGAAGTGAGCCGGATGTACCTGCCCGCAATTAATCTAACGTCAGAGACTGCCAGTACGTGAACTTGAGGCTTGGCTTTAGATTTTAGTCAGTACTTGAGCTGGCACTTTGAACTGAAAGCAAAAACTGCTGCGGGCTCCACTTGTGCAGAAATATCGCGGTAACGCGCTCCTGACATCCAGGAAACTATCATACCGTTTTGAAATAATCAACGTGATAAGGGGAAAACGGTCATTTGCGGCATATGAGAAATGGTTCCTTTTTTAAATGGAGTAACTAGACTACCACCGTTCATAGAGGATGTTTGTAGCGACCCAGTCACCCACATACTTGACTGTTCAACTCACAGTCGCTCACTGGATCGCGAGGCTTGTCTTTTTCTCATACGCACAAACACGTCGCATTAAGCTGACACATCGGACATCGATTGTCTGCACCGCCTAGTCAGCGCAGCAACCACTCATGTGCCGACGCGCCCACATACACGCACTGGGACCTACATAAGGGCAAACCGAACCCAGTCAACACACACAGACTCCCGCGCTCGCAGGGAGCAGGACGTCAACCTTTCCACAAGTCCACGGACAACCATGGAGTACGTGTAGCAGTCGAACTGCGGAGAAAAACACGTTCCCGCCGTCCGGACTTCCACCAAGGGACTCTCGCATCCGATAAGTTCCCTTTTTGACTTGCTCCCATCCTCGCACTGTATTTATTTTCATACGTGTCGCAACCATACAAAAACCTTTCCACAAGTCCACGGACAACCATGGAGTACGTGTAGCAGTCGAACTGCGGAGCAAAACACGTTCCCGCCGTCCGGACTTCCACCAAGGGACTCTCGCATCCGATAAGTTCCCCTTTTGACTTGCTCCCATCCTCGCACTGTATTTATTTTCATACATGTCGCAACCATACAAAAACTTCTATTAGTGCACATTCACCTTCTGATTTGTATTATGACTATCATCACCTGTGCATTAATATGTTACAGGATTGCAGAACACAAGAAAAATGGACTTCGATACCGTCGGCTCGACATCCGTTTCGCAGCACTTTTCACAAGATGTGTCAAAGATGCTCAAAAAAACTTTTGGATGCGAAAGCAATTGTCAAGTTCTAATTTCTAGGGTTTGTGATTCCAACTAGTGTAACTGTGAATCAACCATTGATATAATGGAAAACAATATGCTAAAACATGTGTTGAATTGGCTTTCCGCAGAAAGCGAACTGAGCTTTTCGCGTACCATCTATGTGCGGTTCGACATTCAAGGCATGCCTAGGTTCCGCCTTCATGCAAATCAGTCACCGACATCAAGTACGGTCAGATCTTTAAGTAAGTGGAATGAATCCACAAGACAGCCCACAGAATTAAGAATTACATTCGAACTTGCTGTCTATCTAAAACCGAAGTATGCTATGCGGTAACTTTCCCTCCAGCTTATAGAGGTATTGATTGTGGAATAAAAAGTCTTGTTCAACGATGGACTGTAAAAATTACCGAAATTTTATGAACTTCATCAGTTGGTGACAGTTTGTCTCGTAATCGAATGCTCAGGTTCACGGAGAACCTCACTTGTAGGGGCACTGATTTCAGATAATACTGTGATTACAATTTGACGACAAAAGACCATCATATGTCAAGGGTTAGTTGGAAAACGGATAGCGAGCTTTGAGAGAGTTATTAGTATGCAGTGACGAGAGTCCCACATGAGGTAACGAATTCGAAAGCTGGTCTCACAAATTGGAATAGGTTTCTCTACTACCGAACTCACCGGATAAATAACCCGCAATGCGTGCAAAACCAACCATTAGTGAAGAGGACAGGTGCACCCATTCGGGTCGACGACAAGCCCGCTGCGCCAACTTGACGGACCAATTGACGTCCACACCAAGTATCGTCTGCAAGAACCAACTAAACATCCAAGCCAACAGAAGCGAGCCAAAACCAAAGCCGATCAACAGACCAGGCGTTCGAATCAAATAAACTAAGTAATTAACCATCCCATGATTCAGGGTGGACTTCGATGGTTTCGATGCTAGTTGGACCACTTGAAATAAATGGGTGAAAAAGTATCCAAAACAGAGACCTGAAACAGGAAACGAGAAAGGATCCTAAACTTTGGTGACCATGCCATGCGTAAAAAAATTGCTTGTCGGAGGAGAGTGATCAAAACGAACTAGGGTAATTACGAACATCAAAATATTGTCAATTATTATTGGTGGTAAATCGGGCCACGGATGACCGAAACTCAGTGGTTAGGGCGAATACTTACTGACCAGAAGGTATGTGATTCGAACAGAACTTATGCATCACGACTGAGCCTATTTGGGATTTGGAAACCTGGCAGTATGTGGACCTTTATGCTTTCTTCAGGAGGGATGGCAGCCAGGCACCCAAAGGGTGTTACAGCTGAACGAGGTTAAGCATACAACACTGACCAAAAGCCAATGTACCCAGACAGTAGTACACTAACGTCAGTCGATGAACTGTTAACATCTGTCATCACAACTGATCAGGTATAGAAGTATCACCTCATAAAAACTTCAAGGAAGAACAAGTAACGTTGCTCAGGCAAATAGCATGAGTTTATCGATTTTCCGCGCTCAGGTCAGACCTTCAAACTGTAGTTTATGATGCTATTTCTAGTCGAGGTAATTCTGACCCATAATGTCAAGACGGACTGTTATGACACATGCACTGGTGCACCCATGCAGCACGTTCACTGCATAGAGATTCATAATCATGCGGAATTGGGTACATCTTTCCAACACCCGTGGTTGAACATCACGATAACAAATTACCCCTCCGGATTTTGTCCACAATTCCTTACCCGTATACCTGTGTCTTGGGACCAGATGGATCTATCTGGCTGAGCCCATTTAGTTAGTTAATCAATTAATCAATTAGTATTCACGTAGTTAATTCTAGAAGCCGATTCTGATCGTGCGGTCATTTCATTTTCAGATCGAGTGTTGGCGGGGTTATTTCAAATACGACAAAGCAAAGTACACACCTGAACCACAAGGTCACTGCTAACCAGGATGATGCCATTGAAACTACAATCACATTAAACCTAGTCAAGCAATTCAAGCGAGTTTGAACAGGCACTTCAATGTGCCTCCGCTTGGTGCAGCAAAGGTTGACGCTCTTCAACGACATGCACGTACATCCGCTAGAGCTGTGAGTACACATCATCANCTTTCCAACACCCGTGGTTGAACATCACGATAACAAATTACCCCTCCGGATTTTGTCCACAATTCCTTACCCGTATACCTGTGTCTTGGGACCAGATGGATCTATCTGGCTGAGCCCATTTATTTAGTTAATCAATTAATCAATTAGTATTCACGTAGTTAATTCTAGAAGCCGATTCTGATCGTGCGGTCATTTCATTTTCAGATCGAGTGTTGGCGGGGTTATTTCAAATACGACAAAGCAAAGTACACACCTGAACCACAAGGTCACTGCTAACCAGGATGATGCCATTGAAACTACAATCACATTAAACCTAGTCAAGCAATTCAAGCGAGTTTGAACAGGCACTTCAATGTGCCTCCGCTTGGTGCAGCAAAGGTTGACGCTCTTCAACGACATGTACGTACATCCGCTAGAGCTGTGAGTACACATCATCAATATATCAGTCCAGTAACTGGCTTTAAAATATGAGTGTTATCGTGACCCAGTGAGCACATATTCTCGCACTTTATTCGGCGTAGGAAGCATTCCTAATTCATGACCGATTTCGGGACGAAAGGGATATTGCAGATGGATCGCTGTGATTGTACAACCATTATTAGGTTTTTATCTCACTGGCTTTTCCATTCTTATGCGCGTATCACGTGCGCACCATGCGCACACAGAAAACATCCCATTGGTTTGTTTTTCACCACAGGAACGAACCAGTGGACCATACGTGAAGGTAGCGCGATTGCCTTCACTGCTCTTGAAATTATCACACTTGCTTCTTGACGTATCAATCCTGCTCTTGCACTTATGGTTCCTTCAGTCGAAGTTGGAATGGTACGGTCCGGAGAACGCTAGTCACACAAAGCATTTCCATGAATGGAATGAAAATCGGATGTGAAGTGTCGCTCAAATCTAGATGACGACAAATCTGTGGGCTGGAAAGGAACATTACCAATGCAGTCAACCGGCAGAGATTGTAAAAATAGTAGGAAACAGTATCCGAGAGCGTCTACGCTGTTTCTGTGATATGTGGCACTACTTGGGGAAATTTTTTCTGTATATCATCCGCATACGACGAAATCAATTAGGTTAAATAAACACAGAATGGATAACTAGACAGCATACCTGAAACTACTCCGGCAAGCACCTGGTGGGGAAAGTGTGCCGCCAAGTAGCACCGACTCAATCCCAGAACCAGAATGAACAATCCAAAAATAAGGAGCACCAGTTCTCCGTAGGGACTGGAATGAAGAAACAATCACCGTCAGTCAGCTGGATTATAATGAAGAAATGCATGCGAATCACCTGCAAGATGAAAGTGTACTATTCAACACATTTGACAATGTGGTTTAAAACAACAGACCTTGTATCTTATCGGTCAGAAAACGAATTTCAAAAAAATACACCAACGACTGCTGGATATAATGACAAATCCCCACTGCCTAAATTAGTGACCGTTGCCTTGGCAATAGCGATTATGTAGAAACTACGTTCAACTGGTACCAAAAGGTAATTGAACTACCGTATTACAGTGTCTTAAAATGCGTACTGATATCTCATTATCTTGGCCTGTTCGTAAGACCCGTGATCAAGGGGTAAATTTCAGGCATCGTTGCGACGAAAAAGCTATCAACCGATGGAATGAAATGGCATAGTCTGCGTTCTCCGTAATGGATTGGCAATCAGCTTGAACAATTTAGGTTCAAGTAAAACATGCGACAGAAAATGGGGATTCGTCAGGTTACAAAGTTGGTCAGGGGAGAAGATTCCATCAGCAACATCCCCTCCCGTTGCCAAGCTGAATCCGTGATAGAGTCAACTAGGAAATTGTTCGTTACAACGGGTGACTCGGTGCTAAGAATAATGAGTTAAGGGAAGGCTTATATAAATTGGGATCGGGTCTGGTTCTTCTGCATAGTTGTAAATGAGTGTATTTCGTCAACTGCGTAAATGCTCAAGTAGAACGCAAGGTTAATGAAGTTTAAGGAGAGGAGTCCGAGGGGGAGAAATTGGTGGTGGGTCACCGAGGAGTTTTCAACAAACTTATGACTAGTATGTTCTGTCAAGAATAAACACTGCGATTCCTCGAATGTCATACGAAGACAAACACGAGCCAGTCATAGTGCAGTTAACACAAATATGATTTTGTTGTGGGTAGTTGCGGGAGTTGTAGTGCTCACATTCACACCACTCTCGTTTGGAAAGTCGTCCTCCTGCCCTGGCGTAATTATTCTGGTGAGTCCACACCAAAGAGAGAGCAATAGAAGCACCGTAAACACTACAAATCCCGCAACCACTTACAACAGAATCAAAAATTGTCCAGCGGGTTTCAAGCATCTGTAGCACTACCTGACTGGAAAGCCCTGACGGGCAGTTCAGTCGATCGTCACAACCAAGACAGTTAGTGCGTCGTCGTTCAGGTGTCAGGCTTACCAATCCTATTGCTCAAGTGTGAACACGTTCACCTGCTCAGATGTGGAAATTAAAATGTGTCCAACGTGCGCTGCTACCAATCCTCTCAAGTGTGAACACGTTCACCTGCTCAGATGTGGAAATTAAAATGTGTCCAACGTGCGCTGCTGAAGTAGTGGTAACACACTCGACTCACGTATCAGATGTCCGGAATTCAACCACCGACATGTTTAAGGATATGCACTGCTGATACGTTCTAATAAGAGCTAGGCTTGGACAAATTGGCAGTATTCCAGCCCTTGTGCTCCCCCTAGTGGCATGGCAGTTAAACACCGAGAAGGTGCTACAGCTGAAGGCATCTATTTATTGATTTACTTCTAGTATGAGCGAAACTCGAATCCAGTAATTCCCCCTTTGGTGCGGACTGACTAAAGTTACTCCAGGATAGCAGGACGACTGTTCGAACGAGTGATATGAATGTAAACAAATGGAATCTGCAAATGAGTGCATGTCTTATCTGGTCTACTTCGTACCAGTTTCTGTGAGGTTTGCGTGAGGTTGTGCTACGACAACCAGATGAGGAGGTTGCGCATTCGACCATATCTGCTAATCACTTCTCCAAACTGGCCTGGCCTGGCCACTTCTCAAGAAGAATCTCGGACGTCTTCAGGTATTCGACCACATGTCCCCAATGCTTAGCTTGAATCTGCGAATCCGCAGTGAAGTGAAGCAGACGGCACCTCACTCAAAGAATGCATTCACCACTGCAAGCTAAGTTCTTGATTCCCCATCCCATGTCCTTTTTCTCCTCTTTACGTTATAAGACTTTGTTCAAATAAACTCACATGATCGTACAACAGTGAGGCATTAGTATTCGCATATGGTGCTGCTGTCAATGATAGTGATGACGGTTCAGTTATCCCTCGCGAGCTTGTAAAACTTGGTGTTTAGTTACCTAGCTGTTGGTCCTATTTGGATATTGGTGCATTCGCTACATTTAATATTATAAGTACGATCGTTAGTCGTTTCAACCGAGTGGATGTCCTCCAATTGTACTGATTCTGAGAGTGGAGCTTTTGCCTTATGGACCATTGCTCTCTTTGAATAATCTCAGCTGTTCCTGCTTTACGTAGAATGACTGCTGTGGAATCTATTGTTTACTAGGTGCTGATACTGAAACCAATAACTTTCACTACCACTTAAAGAGAGTTCCTAGCCATCCACCTTCTCGAAGTCTTTGTTGCTGAACTTTGAATGAGGGTTCTAATTCCTGAAGTTGCCAATCTCATTATGTTTGACCACAAGTGTCAGCCACAACGCCAAAACCTCACCAAGACCCCAGCGGTACTCGTCGTTTGGACTGATGAAGCTTTTGTCAAAAGCGAGACTGTGCGCAGCAATAAATGTACCGAACTTTTTCCAAACTTTTCAAAAGCGATTACTTCTCAGTCGGTTTCCAATTAACTGTTTACCAGTTTATGGTTGAACAATTCACCGATCCTCGAAGTGAAGTGATTAGCTTAAAACCCAAGACAGCCATTTACGGCAGGGGGCATACTAACCTACCGACACGACCATCAATAATGGATAGAAAACGCAGAGGCAACAGCAAAAGAACTGCGTTTAGTTACTAATTAAGAGAAATATCTGCTATAATATACAGTGACGTTGATTGAAAAATTAGATCTCTCCGGTTGCAAGCTCCCAAAGTGATAAAAACCCGAAGCAGGGCTAGAGGTGGGCAGTGAGAATGGGTGCGTACAATAAAGAAACAACAGTATTCTAGTACGCGCACCGGTTAAGTGATCTAAAATCAGGAGTGTGCCCAATCCACAGTATTCGAACAAAATGGCTAGCAAACTTTTCGTCCCCACGATGAACATACTAAACTATTGGAAGATCAAGCCTGTGAAAATCAATTGATTTATTGGTGGACACGTAACCAGACGGAGATTTTTGCACACAACGAAACCTAAAGTAAATGTTTGTAGAATCTCTACAATGAGCAGAGTGTACGAAACGTCCTACAATGATTGAACTGACGAAACACCCCTGAAACGGATAAATATTTGAATATACGGTATTCGTTCTCCACTCAGGCTTTAGGTTAGCTGATCAGCTTCTGTCATGCTAAGAGGAAATGGTTATAGCTTGCGAGTGACACACATAGTGAGGAAGGCATAAAAAAGCGCGTACGTCTACCTTGAGTAGATAAGATGGTCGTTAGGAACAGTACAAAATGCCTATTGGTGGCATCGGGTGTTACTTTTTCTGAGAAACCTTTAGACTCGTTAGCCGGGAAAAAATGGGATCACTTAAGTCCTCTGACTATATATGTAAACCTAGCGACTTAAGTTTACACTTTTCCAACCAGGATCCACATTAGTTAAGTTCCAAGTACCTGGCAGATGTCAGCTTAGGTTAATCTTTGGGTGAAATTGAATAAATCAACCAAATTTGATCCTACAGGGAAAAAAATCAGAATTTCCCAATGAAACGCTGGAATGGTTGTAATGAGCCAACAGCATCAAACGCACGAGGAGTGCTTCATACCCGGTTAACACTTCTTGAACAGGTTCGGTTATCCCGACAGATAACATCGAACAACTGTAGGCGGGAAATATAATGTTGGGGGTTCGTTCTTCGGGTTGTTTCCACAGTGAGTACTATGTCAAGAATAAGTTCATATAACCACCAAAAGCTTGACCATTTAAGATGTCAGAATGTAGCCGGGTTAGTTGCACCAAAGAAGCATCGGAAACGGCAGTGATCGCATTGTACTCCGCTATCCACTGAGAATTCGGGGCAATGCAGATACGTACCTTCCACATCATAAACGAGAAGGATACACATCGAAACGTCTAAGACAATCAAAACACAGCCGGGTGAAGGTAAGATAGAGACACCTCTATGTGCAGCTAAACGCGTAGATACAGAAAAGGGAACACGGGAAGTCACAAAGCTACCCACAACACAGAGCAGAAAAACGGATATCCAAAAAGGATGAATTGCCAAAATGCAACGTCCCTGGAGAAATCACAACAAATTGGAAAACAGAGCAGTCTACAGCGTTTGCGGCCGATAAGAGAAATTCAAAAAACAACAGGATAGCCAAAATAAAACATCCAGCGAAGAAAAGCCACACAGTTTGCGTCACGCTGATCAGTGCCAACACATAGCTTACCTGGGTCGTTTGCTTCCAGTATGTCTGGGAGTGTAAAGACATGCGCAGAGAACAAGAGAACAAATGGTTTCGAGGGATTGCAGATCATAAATTGGTACGTGCAAGAGAAAGTGAGAACCGCATTCTTCTTATAAATAAAGGGACAAGAAGAGGGAATCAAGCGCTTTGGTAAAACCGCCGGTATTGAGATAATCGATATACTAATCCATGGCCTTACAGTAAAAAAAATATCAATTCAAATGGGAAAGAAAATATCACTAGTAAAAATTTCTTTGCTCTGATGGCTTTTGGTAGGTTTAAATTAGGTGAAATTAAGTTTAAATTAACCGAGTTCATAGATGCTATCATCAAAATAATAGAGGTATATTACAGATGATAAATAAGATGTTAGATCTGAGTTCAAAATAAGTCGGGTTGGTGTTCTGGTGCTTACCTTAGAAGACATTGATAAAGGTATAACACTAAGGGGACCAAACTTGCGAGTGTGATCATACAGTGCCCCGATGGACTGCCTGGACCAGTTTCGCATGTAACTGGGAATTGTTCAAGGTGCATAACAGCCGTATTGGTTTTTCGAGCATACAAACCGACCCACCAATAGGGTCGATGGCCATGAAGGATCCTGAGGAAGAAGTTAGGAGAGATTCAGATTTTGGTAGCTTTTTCAGTGCAGATGAGATACACAAGGTACTCAAAAACTAAGGGGTGCTATCAGTAGAAGTCGAACATAGTAATGGGCCTTCCTTAAAACGGGTGGAATTCAACAATATTCCTGAAGTGCGTCCTGTTAGGCATCATTCGGCAAGTGATCTTCGTGATTATCCGGTATTTATTACCTTACAACATCTGACTCCTGCGGAAGGATAAATCGGCTTCGTGAACGAAGGTAACTTCTTTGAATATTTGATATATCACTAAGGATTCGTTCGATGAGCTCATCTGGTCCTTTATTTTCAAAAAAACGACTTAAGATACCAGGGTCTAACCGTGAACCATAAGCCATTCGACGCCATGACTTCATATACCGCTTCAACCATTGCACCAATTCCTTCCGCCCGATCCTCTGGTTTTGCCAATACCACGCATGGTATGACTCCAGCGGCCGAGGCCGTACATGAAATAACCCGATAATCAGGTTAATCATAGGTTAGCACCACACTTTTATGTCAAGGGGGATTCAGCCAGCGCACGCATCCCAAACCAGGCTAATATGCATCTTTCGGTGCCAACACCATAAACCTAGTCAACGACAACTATTCGGACCGTAGTTTTCAAAAAAAGGGTGTAGTGTGAGCATGGGACCAGATATATAAGAGGCTTGCTCTCGACAACAGTCATTAACCTTATTCCATCGGGTAGCTCTCAAGGGAAGGTAGATGGAAATGCGGAACGACTGAACAACCGTTTATTCAATACTCAAGTAACGTGTACATTCTGGACCAATATGAAGCTTACCACTTTAGGAGTCCGCTGAACCATTCCGTAAACGAAGCACACAGCATTGTCACCAGTCCGAGAGTTGGATTCAAATAGTAGGCCAGGGGAAATACGAGCGCATAGGCTATCAAAGGGCTCCCTAAGTGGCTTGTGTTGATCATCAGCGAGTCTAAATACTGTACAGGTATCAAGTGGAAAAGAAGTCAAGTGAAACTGGTGGAACGTTTGCGTAACCTAAGTTGTACATTCAAGACAAAGTAAGAGCTCAATGCAAATATGCCAGAAATGAACATAGAAAGCGCTTAAAATGAATCGAAGTTATTCAAACTATCAGTCTATAAAACTTGCGAAAATTTGTTTCTGAAAGAAGCGAGCATGGAAGATTTACGAAGACTCTGTGTCTGGCCATTGGTATCCCGAAAGCACTGGGCGGGTCTGGTGGGAATATTAGATCAGTAAAGCTGAGGTAAGTCCAAAAGTCTTTGGGAAAGTCCACTCCTTCCCGACAGATCAGCTGGTCACACTCAAGTTAGTGGAGTGGTTAGTTCGTGCACCCTGTATGCCGTAGAACCGCTTGCTACGTACAGTCCACTTCGTTCAACCTTGTGTCGGGTGCCATCAGACAAGGCTGTCCACTCTCCCCTTCCTTGTTCAACTTTAACGAGGCAAACGGTGAAAGGTCTCCAAAACCCCAGTGTTCAATTTTTTCCGGTGAGAACCTTGTCGATCTGGAATACTTAGACGACAGCGTCCTTAACTTTGTAGACGGATATGAAGCACAATCTCTCGAATCAACTGACCACCTTCATACTATCTCTCGGCATGCGCTTTCACCTTAAAAGTGCAAAGTCGTGCTTCAGAACGTACACTCTATGAACATGCCCCTTGCCATTCAAGGAGAATGACTGGAGGTTGTGGAGAGCTTAACATACCTCGGTAGTTGTATGAGCTCTGACGGAAACGTCTGAAGTCAGTGTACAAATCTCAAAGGCCAGAATCACGTTTGCTAGTCTGTGCCACTTGTGGCGTAAAAAAGGCATATCACTGACTCTTAAGGGTCGCATGAACCATGCCACAATAAGGGCTGTATTGTTGTATGGCTGCGACACATGGCCTTCATGGACAGACGAGCTGAGACATCTTCAGGCTTTGGAGAACTGATGTCTTGGAAGATTTATAGGTATTCGATGGTGCCAACGAATTCAGGAAGCGATAATTAGAAGACGGGTATTCTGGTGTGCAACGGATACTTCACTTGCGTAAAACGTCCAACTACATCAACTACGGTGGCTGTCATGTCTTACGCATGCTTAAACGCCGTCAACTGAGACGAGTGTCGTTCTCCGTGTTTCCTTTGGAATGGCACGAACCGCGAGGTGGAGAATGACTTGGCAGAAGGATGTGGAAGAGGTGGCGCCGCCCGCCTTCCAGGATGGGTTTCCCTTGACAACCCAATAAGCTCGGTTGTACGCACTGCAGGAAATGGTGGCTAATTGACATCATTGACATTCATGCATTCCTGAGTCCCTGATTAAGTGCCTGGATGTGCATGTACTTCAGAATGCTCACGGTGATCTAGCCACGGAACCTTCCTTCACCCACTCTTCTCTCTTCATTCTAATGCTTTAAAATAACTTTGTGGTAGTATTGAAGTGAAACACCGGTGTAGCACTGATTGTGTTGTCTGTTCTAATCTTCTAACCAGGGGCATGTCTGTCAGACCTCTATCCACCAAACTGGGAATTAGAAAATTTGTGGGTGTCACAAGTACCCTCCCCAGTTCAATGCATTATGGAGACGCACAAGTAGCCACATCACAAGAGCTGGTCGGTAGTGTTACGCAACTAGGCAAGTCCATGGCATAGACCATATGTATTTGGGAACTACTAAATTAGCGTATTTAATCGGCTGTTTTTATTTACTATAAAATCGACCTATTCCTCAGAGTCAATATCGGAAATCATGACTGGGTGGCTAGTGGGCTCTTTCGGTTGGAATTATACTTCCGTATGACTGGATGCTATATCCAAAATTATCTTTAAGAGACTTCGAAATCTCTTCCGCTTGCGATATTACATTCATTTTTAGTCTTTTATTTACAGTTTATTACACAGGTACCGTTACATGAACTCCTTTTGTCAACTGATGGGCACTACTTAAGGTGATCACCACAGATGGTAAAGCTACGAACTACCCATTCCTTCCAATCACCAAAGCAACGTGAGCGCAAAGATCATCCCTGACTATTTGAGCCTATCAACCTTTGGCTTTCTGTTCCTGCATAAGCGCCTGCTGTACCTACTGCATGTACAACCAGTACCGACGATCGCTTGTACACAGAAATTTAAACTCGGTCCCCTAGGACAGAACAAATGAGACAATTCAGTGAAAAAAGTCTGGCCCTTACCGTTTTCTGGTGTTGCTATCAATAGTGATGATTCCAGCACCTTCGTTTTCCGTTTCACTTACGAATTAGTAACAAACTACACAAAACTATCCGGAAAAATGGGTCCCGCGTCGATAATTCTTAAGACATTCCTCATTGAGTGCATTAATAACGGTTTCCGAAATACCATTCAAGCCATTGACTGTTCGGGTGGATAATGGAACTTCAACATCTTCAAGCTGTGCTCTCTGACTTTCACCCTATCAGTTAACAGAAGGTGCTGCAGTTTCTCTGTCAATTGACCTGTTAGGTCGTACGTGTATAAATCAGATCCCACTCCCCGTTCAACCATCCTACACGGACTGCTTTGAGCAGTTGTCAAACCCGTGTTGGACGTCTCGCATGCTTTCCACTATCGTAATCAATGTGTATGATTTAGGGAGACCAGAATAAAAAAAACTGGTCGATTATATGCGGACAGTCGTAACCGGAATCAAACGCGAGACATAACCATACGTAAAAACTGCATATTTGTCATGGTTAAAGCTATTACCGTTTCATTAGCTGATGAGTTGCGGAATAAGGGTTAGATAGCTACGCGTTGGAGGCGGTAGCCGATATAACTGATGAACAAATACAGAGGTGTCAGTAAACTTTTCATTGTGGAGACAGGGAGGGGGGCTGTACGCCGAAGGCTTGGATGCAGGGCCGAGTCAACCGGAAAAACCTCCTTATCGTCAACAGCACATTGCACACTCATTCCAAACTGCCCGGGGCCTATTTCAATCCGGAGGATACAACGACACCCGTGTTCCTCTCCTGCATAAAACACCTCAGTGGGTTGCTGTCAATGTGGCAGGAAGCGTACGGTTCCTGATGGCCAAATGACAGAAACTCCCACTTGTTCGCGTTAATTGACAGTTTCCACTTTTCGGACCAAACAGAATGAGAGCCGGTCGCTACCGAGGACGTACTTAAATGAAGAAACATTTGATCACAACTTGAGAGCATCGACATTTACAACCTCTGTTCAATGTCGCGGAAAGATAATCAGTGACCTATTATGATAGATAATTCGTATAGTTCGTGCCACAACAAACAGCGCGACCAAAGGGGTGTAAATTCACTAGCCTTGGTGTAGAAAAAGTAGCCAAACAGAAGTCAACAATCCGATCCAGCAAATCGGTAACCGCATAGCTTCTGCAAAAGGACATCCTGTAGAATATTATCGGCGACCCTAAAATCTACGAAAACCACGTCAGGGCGGAAACCGGAATGTAGTTCAGCTGTTCACTTTTATGGATACATGAAAAAGTGTAACGAAAAATGAAACATCCGCAGGTGGTTCTTTATTTCCCGGACCATAGCGCCCTGAAAACAAGATCGACAATGGAGTACCATTCCCTTTGCAATTGTAATATTCGGCGATCGAGTGGAAACAAGGGACAACACAAACCTGAAATCGCTGAATCCATTGAATAAATCCGACACCACAAACATGCAACGTCTCCATTCCTAACACGCGGGCTTAGAGACCCTGAAGCCCAGGTTCCTGTGGTCCCAAGGTCACGGGCCGAGAAAAGGTGGGACAGGGCTTGTCTGCGAAACCCAAAAATCGCTCAGCTTATTGTCCCGGAGGATCCAGATAGGTTTCGTTGCGTTGCGGCGGCCTAATAAATTTCCAATTCAGCCACTCTCCACGTTCTCTCCCGCAGGTATTGGTCATTGAATATCGGAAATTAGATCTATCTGGGGTCAGTGTGTCGCTGAAGTCAAATCATTCCGCAAGATTCCCGACCCATCAGCTTGCCGCGAGGTAACCCCCTAGAGATTCAAACAGAAGGCAGCAGACGTGAGTGTGTGAATACTGCGTCGTTCGGCAAATCTGCGTCATTATTCCACCGTGTCTATCTTCATCAGCGAAGACTCGAGACCAACAGGCGTCTGGTTTCAGCTTGCGGTGGTCCACAGATACGCACACTACCATTTCAGATGTTAATATATTTCAATCGTTCAAGGTTTGTATAGGAGAGAGGCACATTAGTTATCCTTGACCTTTTCATACCCAACTCTCGGAGCTGAAATTTTCCGCATTAGACAATAGAATCTGGAAGGGTTGGCCCCTTAAGCGAATTTGGAAACGTAGACTCCGATACGGAACTTTGAGTGACGCGTAGGTTCGACAATCCCGAATATCAAAAGGAAGAATTGGGTTCGTAATTCTACGGTACTATTTACACAAGGGTAAGCAAATGTGTACAACAAACCTCGATTGTTCCTGTTCGTAGCGTCAACAAGTTCACAGATCTGTCACTGACTGGCACAGTGCAATGTTAAAGTCCGCTCACCAAACAACGGCGAGTGGAATGACGGCTCAGTAGCGTGGGTGCCGTCGTTCCTTCTGACGACGGTCTCTTGATTCTCATTGGACGCGGAACCCATGAGAAAACAAATCAAGGCAGGCTCAGTAAACGGGACATGAACGCACATGGGTAAGTAGGTCAGCAGTGCACATTCAAACACAGGCACACATGTCAACACACAAGTGTCTGAAAGGACGGCCTCGGCGGCAAGGTGAGTGGCGGGAACGAATGAGCGAAACAACTGGAGATCAAAAGTACATAGGCGGAGTAAGCAGATAAATGGGGGGATTATCATGAGGTCAAGTTAGATCCAACACCGTCCCCACTAAGAACTAGTCAGTATTTATATACGATGTCTTGGCGCTAAACCCCAAAACCTTCTTAGTAAATCGTAAATGAAACAATCCCTCACAGGTGTGGTCCAGTGTGCTAGACTGGGCTCGCTACGATATTTTGGATTGCAACTATAACCTCTGTGTTTCTAAAATATAGAACACTTCGGATCTAAAAGAGCGCCACACTTACATTTACTGCATCAGGCTGGTGTTGTAGCCACCAACCCGGGGCTCGGGGTCTCCCCTAGGTTCGCATACAATAACCCATACCAGTTTCCCGGCCAAACAGATTTTCTTGACAAGTTTCTAAATTTATCCACTGGACGACGGAATGTATGCAGATTACGGCGTATACTAAGGATCAGTGCATCTAAATTCCAAACAACAGTGGCATCCACCCCTCATTGCACTCCGTCTTGTAAATCGCTGGCGACTTGACTCAACGTGCATATAAGTGACGACAACATGTTTGGATAGATACATTTTGCGCCCGCAGACAATAACGTCCGAACACTAGTACCGCGGAGACTTTGTCTCGTGACTAAAGTATTCGGTGGCTCTGCTCACATACGTTTCGGGATTGATGTCTGAGCACCCCATCCATATTCTTTAGTGAGAAATGGAGGGAGTGGAATGTGTAGAATGATGCTCTGCGCTTCGCACATCAGTGATTGCTTGTCGCACTAAGGAATGGTCTGAACATGGTCATGCAAGCTTTTGGATCAGGACAGAGGTTCCTTTTAGTCTCAACTGTTTCACTGCTCACTGAATTGTGGCTACGTCAGGCGATAGCCCTATTATAACATCACCATTTTGTCCACTTAGGACCACTCGCCATCGAAACTACTCAAAAAATAACCCACTGGATATGCAGTTTATCTTGATCCAGGCTGGGATCTTTCAGTTTGCAAACAAGCTCATCTTCTTATAAAGTGTGTGTATTGGCCCAAGGTGTCTCTTCATTATGGGTACCGGAATCCCATGCATGAGAATTACACCTGTATGCTAAACGTATGCTCCACAAGTTTTGACCTGCAAGTCTTCTGATTTTCTGTTTGTCCTTATCGATATTTTTGGTGTCACTAAATAAAGGACGCCAACACCTCAGACATTTTTGCTTCCTGCACACATTCACCTGAGTATCGCGCTAAGACCAAGCTCGGCAGATTGTCATCACAAGCATTTCCGAGGATAGTGTTGCACATTTTGCCACGCCGTTTGTAACAACGGCATCAGTGAAGATATTACCAAAACGTTAGAGCATCTCTCCTGGACATCAAATAACGCGGGTTCACCAGAGCTTGAGCGATCGGCATGGTACTTACTGTATATATTTATGGCACTCTCTAACTTGCCGTCATGCAGCTGCTATGAGAGCTATTAACAGAATGTACGGTGTCACGCACCGCACTAATCCGTCTCGTCTGTTAGTAATATTATTCATGGCAGTGAGCACGACGAAACCTCTTGGCTTATATTTACTCTATGTCCACAGCCGAAAGTGGGCTGGCTGGAACACTCGGGCGTCTAACTGTTAGCTCAAGTAGCGTTAATGCCCAGGAACCTCTCTTCTGTGCTACACATAGAAATTTCATCATATGGTGGCTCCACCATTGACGGGTTTCCAACACGTCTACATCGCGGCTACTCTTGGTCGCACCGCACCTTTGGACGACAGGACTGGTAGAATAATAACGCACCGACTTTTGAGTAAATAGGTGTGTTCGAACGCATTCTGCGTACAGCCGCGTTTGTGTTTGATCTTTATATGGAGGTCTAGCTGAAACGCATGTATCGCATATTATGCGGATGCCAGCAGTCACTCTTAATAATAACAGGCTTATTTCCCAACTTGTGTGACGCAAACCAGCTGAGGCCTCATCACACCGCTGTAATCTTAACGTGGTGGCCAACAACACAATGGGTGGAATGCGAAACCAGAGAAACATGCTTATTAAGTGATAATAATCATGGAATGTGGAAAGCAAACAGCTAGAACGATGAGGCATGACACACTACTAGTTCGAGGTTAAGGCCAAATGAACTGAACTAAAACGAAGAAACTTTTGCTCAGAGGAAGTATCCGGTTGTGTACATGGCCATGATGGTTTTTATGGTACACTTTTATGATCAAGATGTCCAAATGTGTACTTCGAGCTTGAATGCGATTAGATAATTTATGGTGATGGCTGGCCGCGATTCTTATCGAGATGACTTCCTGGTTTTGTGGATCTAACGGACCTAGCTGATCTCTATTTTCTTGCACTTTGCGTGGGTGTCTGGCACGGGCCTGTTTTCTTATTCCTGCCGGCTAAACTGTGGGATCACCTTCCTCCCGCCATGGCTGGATGATTGGCAGATTCATGCCGGTCAGTCTCTTTAGATGGTCCGTTAATGAAAGTTGCTCAGGATCTGCGGCCCTAAGGTGAAAATGACCCATCCCTGCAAATGTGTGGGATCCCTGATTGTGGTTAGCACAGACATGCATGTCTTGACCACCGTGTTACTTCATGTTACTTCACGATTCTTAATCCTTTCTATCCCGGGTGAACTGCCACCGAATAGATGGTCAGCCATTCGTCCAATAAGTCCTATTTCAAGGGAACCTATATCACAGCTTAGGCTCCGTTTTTAGGTCATACCGCACAAAACGGAGGTTAAAGATACCGTCGACGCTGCTGCAGCTAGCGGTCAGTTGTTACAGTCCATATGCGAGATAGTCTGGAACAAACAACTCCCGGCGCAAAGTATATGTGGTAAAACTGAAAGGCTTCGGCCTATTTTCAAGTGATATCACCCTTTCAACGCTTTTCAAAAAAACGAGAGTTATTTCATTTGCGTGCACCAAGTCCGCAAATTTCACACAAGGAGGGACCTGAATACCGATGTTTGCAAAGCACATCGGTGTTTATTTGTATATCGTCAGTACGGAAACTAAACAAAAGCAGTGAACCTAATTGCTCAACACTCGTGGTGGCAGGAAAGCGTTTCGAGAACATCCCACACAGTTTCGTAGCCTGAAATTGTGAGTGAATATAGCGCATGATGTTCGCAAAAATGTCATCAATACATTTTGAAGAATTGGGTGTCTTGTTTTGGGAACACTAGCTTTGAAAATTTCGACCGGGAACTCATGCGGTATCACTGTCATTGTAGATTGCTGGGATGATCTTGCAGGTTACATTGACTGAACCTTTGTTCCACAGGATGAAACCGTGCCGGAAGGGCAAGAGGGAAGCAGTAGGGAGATGGTTCTTCGTCAGAGCTGTGGTCCCACCTGCAATGAGAGTGTAGCGGCAGTAAGGTGCCTCCTCCAGAGAATCAGCATGTCCATATTCTTAGAAGCAACGATGCTCCCTTTCACCTAGGAAGGATGGGTTAGATGAGGTCTGTTCTTAAACCGCACATATTGATAAGACTCACTAGTTTTTTTTCACGTGGGGCATTCAAAATCCGTTCTCTGTCAAATTTTCGAAAATGTAGTGTCCACTGTAACCGTGTACCTTCTTGAAATTGGTGCACGCTGTCACAAACGACGCATGCAGAACCCAAACGTAGTAATCCTCCTCAACAGAAGCTCAAACATTTCACACTTCTCCCTCCGTGTGTTTGGTGACTCATACTCGGTTCACAAATTTAATGCTCCCCAAACTTCCTCGTGTCCTTGGCTTTACAGATACCGTCAAAATCCTGGCTTAAATAGTCGTTGCTCAAAGTTATTTGTTCAACATTCATTATCAGCGCCTCAAAATTACCAAAATGGATATTAAATAGTTCATCACTTGTGCTGGTGTGGTCAGCAGAGAATGCGAGCGCTTTCAGCTCAG